CTGAGCTTTTTGTTTAAATTATTATGAAATTGACCAAAGTGGGATTAATTCAAGAGCGATTTTCTCAGAAACCGTTAAAGATAACGATTTGAAACAAGAGTACCTTTTTAACGTAAAACAGTTCGGGAAAACGGAATTTGCTGTCCAATTTGTTAAAAAGTCAAAGATGAAAAAGTTACACACACAAAGTACCAAGGGCCCCCCCGTACCCACCCCAATGGACCTTGTGGAAATAAATTGATTAGTCCATCAAATTGCTCATCAAAATTTAGCTGTGTATACCAAATTTCATTCATTTATCACAACGCAATTGAGAGATATTGCAAAAAAATGATTTCCATTCCTCCCTCTTCAATGGGTCCCTGTGCCCTTAGGAAGCATTTCCGGACCCATGTTCATATGAACTTTTTTACTTAGTTTTGATCATAGAATCGGCCTGTTCAGGGTTGGAAGCTAATTATGAGACACCCTGTATATACAAATTTTTGTTGTGCTACTTTTGGTTTAGTCCATTTTTTAAAATACAGTACAACATAAAATTCAAAGAACTGCTTGAAGCATACCGTTGAGTAAAAACTGATGTGCACCTTACTTTTCTTCAGTTAATTTAAAAGAAAATATCTCTTACAACCTTTTAAAGTAAGACCATTTTCACATTCACATCACTATCTTGAAAATAGTGGATTCATTGCATAGAATCAACATAACGATTTCCTACTCATTTTTAAATGTCGGTGTGTGTATTCCAAAGAAAAATACAATAAAATGCTGCTAAAATATATATTTTAAACTTAAAAGTACAAAATCAACATGTAAATACAAAAAACATCTTTGTTGCAATTTAATACAACGAAGGTATAGTTCCATACCAGTCAACAATTTTACAATCGTGCCAGACGTATTTTCCTTTGAAATCAGCCGTAAGAGCCAAATAAAGGGGAGCTTTTGCGCCTTCTTCAATAGTTAACGGTCCTTGGTGATTGTTCAAGTCAGTGTTTATGTAGCCGGGATGCACAGCGTTGACCGCAATATTCCTGTTCGGTTGTTCCTTATCGAACAATCTCTGTTGGATAAAGGTCAGGGCGCTCAGTCCTACTTTGGACACGAAGTAAGCATGACGCCAACCTTCTGATTTTGCTTTGCCCTCTTTGGCATCCCTAAATGATGATAAATTAATAGTGATGTAAAATAGCATGCTATTTAGTTTTGGGTGATATATATCAAAATATATATCATTATATATATCAGATGAATTTTGTTAAAAAAAAACTATATTCAAATTAGTTTTTTTATATTGCTAATGCCTTGCTGATTAATTTGACACCAAATACATGTCATATATATGAACTTTAAGAAAAGTTATCAAGTGATCTTTTTTTTTTTTCATATTTAGATTGGAATTTTATATTTTTTTTATCATACTGACTTCTAATTTTTGTTGCGTGCTACTGACTGTTTATAAGCAAGTACGCTGTTTATTAGCAATTTAGTTTTATCAACCCAGAAATAAAAAATGGGAAATTTCTAGAACAAGAAAATTTAGTCTTTGTATATCACAATACGTACTTAAAAAAAATTAAAGATAAAAATTGAAATAAAAATTATCAAAAACTTATGATAATAAAGAAACTGCTTTAAAGTAGTACTTAAAAATCTGAAAATTTAGGGGTGTACTATAAATGGGGAGACCTAAGAGCGCACGTAATTTCAACTCACCCCTTCCACCCTAGGGGGTGGGGTGAAGGTTTTTTTTAGACGTACCCTATTTATTTTGCGATTTTCGGATTGTACGCGTAAAACTACCCCCAGAAACGCGTTCTTGGGGGTACGTCTAAAAGACCACCCCTCACCCCCTCTGCACCTACTAAGGTGGAAAGGGCCAGTTGAAATCAGGTTCGCTCTTAGGTCTCCCCACTTATAGTACACCCCTAAAATTTCAGATTTCTATATTTATTTTTGAAGGAGAAAAATGCTCATCGAAAAAACGACAAAATCCATACGAGGGTGGTGGTTTGGTTTTTGTGCGAATTCGGCAAGAACGCGCTTTCGGGGGTAGTTTTACGCATAGAATCCGAAACTCGCAAAATGAGTAGGGTACATCTAAAAAAACCACCCGTCACCCCCTAGGGTGGAAGGGGTGACTTGAAATTACGTGCGCTCTTAGTTCTTCCCATCTATAGTACACCCCTAAAATTTCAGATTTTTATATTCATTTTTGACGGAGATATTCCAGGTACCCAAGAGCTACTACAGTCCAACTCAAGCCTACCACACCACAAGTTTTTAGTTTTAAAATGTAAGGTTATGTTTGAAATTTGGCTTTATTCATGAAATGGCGGGAAAATTGATATATATCAGCTATTAACATAAATATAATAGCTGATATGTATCAAAAATTGATATATATCAATTTGTTATATATTTTCACTCACATCACTATAAATTAATATAACCAAATTATTTTATTTTGTAGAAGTCTGACACAATTCAACAAATAACTGATAAATTGTAATTTATCACGGCGACAAACAACGAAAACCACAATATATATTATTAACTTTTCACACTTCGATTGTATTTGTATTATTCTTCAGTACATCAAACAGTGTAAACAATTTTGCTTGCATTCAACTTAAAGGCTAAAAACCAAAGATAGATAATATGTAAAAATAATAAAAGATAAACTATTATTACATACTTTACGAATTTTTCCATCAAGTTGTTCAGGTCTGGAATGGTCAAGTTAGAATCGCCCAATTTTGCCTTCAAGTCTGCAGATGAGATCATGCTAAGATGACCAGCAGAGCTGGAAATATTTACAACCTTGGCATTATTGCGTAATAGTGGGAAAAGTGCCTCAGATACTCTTAGTGTCCCGAAATAGTTGACTTTTATGGTTTCTTCAGCTTGTTGGCCTTCAGGTATAGTTGCATTACCCTAAACATAGTCATCATTAAGTTGAATCAACATAATTTATTTAATAAAAGAGTACCTGGTTGCTTTAAATATTTAAAAAATATAATCCTTTGTGAACGTTGCAAACAGACAAGTTCCCTAAGTGGAACTTAATTGTGAAAAATTAAAATCGAAAAATATTTTGGGATCAAAATGGTAGGCATTTCTACCTTATCTACTTCATTTTGCTTTTGCAATTTTAATAAACAATAATTTATTTTACTCAGCATACCAAATAGGCTATAGCAGCATTATTAACCAAAATATCTATGCCCCCATGGTTTGATTTAATATATTCCTTGAATTTGTCAACACTAGACTGGTCTGTAATGTCCAGTTGATGGAATAGAGGGTTGAAACCAAGTTCCTTCAATTTCTTAACTGCTGCTTCTCCTCTACCAACATCTCTAGCTGTTAAATATACAGCACCCTTAAATTTCTCGCAAAGGCCCTTAACTATTGCATATCCAATACCTTTGTTGCCCCCTGTAACCTGTTTAGAAAAAAAAATTCAATATCTTTTTTTATATCTTTTGGAATTAAATACTTACCACAGCAACTTTTTGGGTTGACATCGTAAATAGTTGGTCAGGTAAAGTTATACATTTTACTCAGGAATAGTTTTTCCCACAAAACATATAATACAGTTTTTCCAGTCGTTTGTATAATTCATAGATAAGAGTTAGTATCAATATATTTTATCTATGGTTAGTATAATTATTTTGAATTTATTATGTTAGGTATTATTCTGACAGTGACAGATGTGGCAGATTGTCAACTGAACTGAACTGAAATTGAAGTACGTTCCTGTTATGTTCTCGTTTTTGTACATATCTCTAAACATTTATTGATACTACACAGACAAATAGAAAAACAATATGCGAAAACAATTTCATGATAAATTTGTATGTAGGTTGAGTTATCTAAATTATTTTTAGAAAACAAAATCGTTGAATATTTACGGAAACAGATGATTTTGCGACCTTGTACGTGACATTTTCAGGAACGAATCATTGGTAAGTTAAGTAGTTTAGTTATCCTATATACAGTCAATAATGACCTTAAACTCCATATCTATTCCTTAAATCCTTATTTATGTACATACATACTTACACACACATAAACAAGGCTTATGTTATGTTTTGTGACTCCATCCATAGTCGCATTCACGCATTAGTCGCGCGTCTTTTTCATACTCCACTTATAGTACAGTCATTGAAGCTTTTCACCTCCGAATTCTTTGAAACTGAACCGATCGACTTGAAAATTGGCAGTTAGAGAAAAGGTCAATGAACATTAGTGAAATTTTTTTTCAAAAATAACGCTGGAAATCGCTAGTGAATCAAATTTTGAGCAAATAATATTCAAAGAATTTTTTCGATAAATCAATAGTTCTTTAGTTATTCACGACTGAAAACTTGTGATTTTGTGAAAAAAAAAAGTTTTCAAAATATTTTTCGCTAATAACTCAAAAATTACGCATTTTATTAAAAAGAAAGTATATTGGACAAAAATGTAGCTTATAAATATACAATGAAAATTGTTTTTTAAAAGTGTTGTACGTCCCCCCTTATACAAAGCAAAATATGGTTACTGGAAGGGGACTTGTTTTGGGGGGAATACTCAAATCGATGTATTCAACATCAAATAACGGAAAAAGGATTAATTTTATGTGTATAACGCTCCAGGAGTTTTTTGTAGTATTCAAAAAGACCTTCAAAATGAGCACTTATAAAAGTTAATTAGAGCAAAATTGAAAGAGTTATCGTCAAAAACTCATTGGTTGCTCATATTTTTTAAGGAAAAATGAGCAATAAACGCTGTATCATTCCCATCAGAATCAAAATTAATCGTAGACCCTTTACAATTAGTTTTTTCTTAATGTTTTTCATAGGATCCTAAAGTTAAACCGGTTTAGAATGCGTATTTTTTTAATAATGTACGGTAAAAGTTGAAAACGTATTTTTCATTATTAAAAAAAAAATTGCCTTATTTAAATAATAACTCTGAAACTATGAAAGATACGTAAAAAATAATAGACAACAAAAATATAGCATTTTTTTTTAACAAATATCTTGTTTTTTACAAAAAATAAATTCTCAAGAATCATTAATGTCAAATGTAACTTAATACTGCGAAGGTGTAGTTCCATACCAGTCGACAATTTGACTATCGTACCAAACGTATTTTCCTTTGAAATCTGCTTCCAGAGCCAAGTAAAGAGGGGCCTTCGCTCCTTCTTCAGTAGTTAAATGCCCTGTTTGACTGGTCATGTCTGTAACTACGTAGCCCGGATGAACGACGTTTACCGCGATATTCCTATTGGGTTGCTCGTTATCGAACAGTCTTTGTTGGGCAAACGTTAGAGCACTCACGCCCACTTTGGAGACGACGTAAGCTGAGCGACCCCATCCTTCGGAATATGCTTTGTCATCTTTGGCGTCCCTGAATAATGACAAATCAATTTTATTTATTTTCTGATTTCATTTCATTATGTAGAACTTTGTTGTTTAGCAAAAGCTATCAATCAGTTTATCACACCTAATTAAGATGTTGCAATCAATGTAAATATTTGAAGTACATAAGTATCGTTAAATAATATAAATTATTTGTTTATCACATATTTTAGTTTAATTCGATTAGATTTTATTAATGTTACCGAAAAAGATAAGATTATAATTTAACAAAATCACAAACACCGAAAACCGTAATATATTTTTATAAAAACGAGTAATATTAATTATTGGTAATTGCTAATAATGGGTAAAATGTTTGTCTTATTTTTGAATAAAAAATATTCAGACTAAACATAAAAATACATCGGAGATAAGCGCTGATAGTGGGTAATAAGTGAAAATAGTAAGATAAACTATTACATACTTTACAAATTTTTCCATTAATTTGTTGAGGTCTGGAATGGTCAAAGTAGAATCCCCTAATTTCGCTCGTAAATCTTCAGACGGAATCCTGCTGAGATGCCCTGAGGAGCTGGAAATATTAACGACTTTGGCATTGTTGCGTAATAAGGGAAAAAGTGCTTCCGATACTCTTAGTGTTGCAAAATAGTTCACTTTTATGGTCTCTTCAGCTTGCTGGCCAAAAGGTTCAGTTGCATTATTCTATATATAGAGAAGAATCATTATTTTAAAGCAAAACAATTTACTTATCTATAGAAAAAATATCTGGGTCATAAATTTTGGTTTTACATATTTTGAAATATACAGTCCTTTACAAAATGATACACACAGAAAGCTTTTTAAGTGGTCATGGTGAAGAATATTGAAATTACAAAATATTTTACAAATTACGATTATAAATCTTATTTAATTTATAAAATCAATCTATAAATTATTACTTAGCTTACCTTAAATGCTATAGCAGCATTATTAACTAAAATATCTATGCCTTCATGTTTTGATTTAATATATTCCTTAAATTTGTCGACGCTAGACTGGTCTGTAACGTCCAACTGATGAAACAGAGGGTTGAAGCCAAGTTCTTTCAGTTTGTTGACTGCTGCTTCTCCTCTACCAACATCTCTAGCCGTTAAATACACGACACCATTAAATTTCTCGCAAAGGCCCTTAACTATGGCATATCCAATGCCTTTGTTGCTCCCTGTAACCTGTTCCGAATGGAAGGATGAAGGTTTTAACATCTATTCGAATTACGTACTCACCACAGCAATTTTATTAGATGACATTTTAATAAATAGGCTTTGTGTAATTAATTCCGGCTAATTTGTCTTTCTAGGTTAGGTTTTATTCAATACTGTCTACTGTCAAATCTATGTTCTAATTCTTTTCTCTGTTTTGTGGTTCTAATTCTAATATTTCTGACACGATCGCAGAAAATCTACTAGCCAAGTGAAATTGAAAATTGATTGAATTGTTTTTTTTTATTTAATCTCGAGTCACGTGCCATCATTTTTGCTTGATATTTTATTTATACTACAAAATAAAAAATTACACTACTAATAATCACAAAACATGATTGGGCAGTGATCATAGATAAGATATACCATATGTATACATACTATCTAGATAATAAGTATATGAGATATACTTTAAGAAAGCAACGATTCATATCCACATCCACTATCCAGCACTTATAGCATTATCTTCTGTCACAGGTCACAGTTTCTGTTAGTTATCTTATCTCTCTTATCTATAGCCTTTTTTTCGCGAGTGGAGTTGAAACTACTTAAACGAGTAAGAGCGCTTTCACAGTTCACATTATTACGCGAAAACGCCACTATTGTGGCGTTCTGTGGTGATTGGTCAATTTTCTTAAATCAACGTAGTCAACTAGTCAAGGTCACCACGCTGGAAGTTGCTTTAACCGCATTAACTTTAACTTTTTCGCATAAACGTAAAAAAATAAGCGTTATTTATGTCTTATGTCATGTCAGATCAGCAGTCATACATCATTTTAATTTTATTAGAAATTTTGACAATCGTGAAAATTTGAAGTGAAGGTGAATTATAGGTATTATAAACATTCCTTTTTCCACTTATTTTTCTAGAATTACAGTGTGGCTACTCCGGTTGGTTATTAAATAACTATTACCAAAATTACTGGGACCACAATCAAAAATACTTCACTGCTTTCAATGATTACAATACAACATAACCTGAAACCTTCTAATTATTTCGATTACGCGCGAATAGTGTGGAAGGTGATGTTTTCAAATTTGGCGTTTACGTCAAACGCCGCGTTTCGGCGCAATAGTGTGAAAACGCTCTAAGCGAAGTGAGAAGTGTGGGGGACAAGATTCCATAGGCGTACTACTTGAGAAGGGGTCAAAGAGCAGAAAATTATAAAAAATAAGTTCAGGGTGAATATTTATTATTTACTTTAAAAAGCTTATAGACTCACCTGTCATCCTCTCCACAATTGTTGACTGCCCACCACCACCTACTTACACCTACCTGATTCGCACGCCGCGGATATCACACTTTATCACTTATAATAATACACCGTATATATACACACCCCGTTCCAAAAATCCTACTGTACTTCCAATATGCGTTATTATTAGGCGCCTCCCTTTTCCAGAAGGCGACTTTTTCCAGTCGAAAATCCTTTCAGAAATGCCTGCCGTTTGCTTTGGATATCGATATGAGATATTTCATATTACTTTGAAAAATCTGAAAACTTACATTGAAATGCCACAAATAAAAATAATTTCAAAAATCTCTAAGAAAAAATTTGGTAGACAATAACGGCACTGACCGATCAAAAACTGCATTCGGTTTCTCTCTAGCTCCTCCAGTTGTTGAGATTTTCGATTTTTTGTCTCGACCGAATCACAATGTCGACGCGCTTGCCACACACAAGATAGCCTGTTAAAAACTTTACTACTGCTGTCTTGGTGCAAGCACCACTTTACTGTCAAATATATCGGGGGCAAGTAAGCGCGTCATCTACGCCAAGTGAACATCAATGACGTAAAGATGTTTTATTTAAAAACGATTTAGTTGACGTTTATCAAAATAAAACCACAATTGTTTTACAATTTTATTCATGTTTATAAAAATAATTTAAAACACGCTGTAACTAAAAAATTAACAACTAAAGAGATTACAGGCATTGACAATTACACTTGATCTACCACATAGCTTAACAAAACTTCAGTCTCTGACGAAGATAACAGAAATAACATGAACTATACCAACTGGACCCCGAATTTGGCCAAATAGCCTTGCAGTATCGTTTGAGTTTGAGAGTTCGTACTGTTGATCATGGTCGGTAAACGACCCGGCTGCGAACTGCCCAGACTTGCGAGGCTTTGGACCAGAAACTGACGGGGTTCATTCACCGCTACGAAATAAAATAAGAATCAATACAAAATTTACTCGATACCGTTAAATAACCCACCTTGTAGAGGATCATTTTTGGTATTATTGGCGAAGTTCAGTTTGGCACTAGCCGTCTGAAACGTTGGGGTATCATCGACTTCTATAAAGTGGTCGTCCGGCAATGTGCTCTCATCTCTGGGCATTTCGAAGAAGGAAATCAAGGCCTGTAATTACAAGAAAATCGAAAAATTCTAAAAAACATCCTAAAATCATTAATAGGCAAATTCAAGGTGTTCACATTTATATGTTAAACGGAAGAAGCAAATAGGAAACTGTATATAATTGTATATTTATATTATATATATATTTCGCTAAAAACTTCATCTTAGTCAGTTCACCGCCCTAAGAGCTGTGACGATATTTTTTAATGGGAAAGTTCACATTTTTCTCAACATTTATTAAAAATATAATACAACATGCTATGAGAAAAGTACTAGTTCGATCAAGTCTGTTACTGATTTTATCAGCATTGTGGTGGAAAAAAAGATACTTTCAATGAATATATCATTACGTTTATTTCTCTTTATAATTTCATTTTATATTATTTATTATAAATTTCTATAATAAATGTAGTAAATTTGCAAATAAAAATAATTAAAATATGTCAGTAATGAATATAAATATTAAAAGTATCTTGTTTCCCAAGACAACGTTGTTAAAATGATAACTATCATACAATGTACAAAAAACATGTATGAAATTAGGAAAAATTATTTCAATCATTGCTAGTGTTGCGAGAAACAACTACTCCGCACGCTATTTGCCCCGACCGGCATTGAATTATACACGCAACATCTAGTACAGAGCTAGGATCGTTCGTCAGTTTAACCCACCAGACACAGACCGGTTTCGGACTTATTGGTCCTCATCAGTATGTCGTAGGTAAGACAACTGACGAACGATCCAGCTGCTTTAGTGTCGTATACTCACGAAAAGGAAATATGTTATACACAGGGCGAAAATTGCTCCATCTATCATGCTACTTCCCAAATACGCCATTCTGATGGCTACTACTAGTAGGAACCTGCTAAAATTTGCCAGGTACTTATTTGCACGACCATCGCCAATTGGGCGAAAACAAACATTTAAAACATTTTGTTGTTTGTTGTTTGAAGTCCCAGTTATTAAAACGATAAATTTTTAACAAGTAATTTTAGGTTAAATACTTATATTATCATACTCTATAGATCCTCGCTTGCAGTTTGCTATTTGCTCTTTCCGTTTTTCTGTAATGTATATTATTGACGATAAGTTTCTTAAAACTTTATTAGCAATTTTTTAATTTGAAATTTAAATAACACAATGTTTTAATAATATTGTGGTAAACACCTACTCTGCGAGCTACAGTCATGTCCGGTTTTCAAACTTATTAGTTCTCATCAGTCGATTTACTGACATGTTTAGAGTGTGGGTGAGATATAACCTGCAAACTGTCGCATTTTAACCGCCAATGCTACTTGCAATGCTACAGATTAGTAGGTCGCTTTCTGTCAGTAAGTACAAAGCAATGTTTTGCAAGTTTTATCTCGCACGATGTTATTCTACATACCAATTTGTAGAAAAATTTTTAATTTTACATAAAAATTGTTTGCGCAATTTTAAGGAAGATTATACTTTCCAAGTATGTGCATTCTTAGAGCTTATTTAAGGAAAATATTTGAACTTCATTTGTTTTTACTTATAATAGTGGACTAGAAACCTATACATCGGGAAACTGTGTAGCATATTAATAACATATTTTCTTTTCCTAGAATTGAGAAAAAAACCACCAAGTCTGAACAAAATAAGACTTCGTACTATTAATGTCAAAAATGTTTAAGGGTACAATATACAAAAAAAATATTTGAGGATTTTGTGAAATGAGATTTGTGAGTACTGTTTTAATTTGTTTATTTCATGAAGAAATTATTTCCAGAAAATAATATTCAAAGTTGTTATACAGGATATCCAAAAGTTCCGGTACGGCAGAACTTTCGAGGAATGCATTTTGGGAAAAAATAATCCAGACAAAAGTGTAAGAATTTTTCCCTGGATATCTGATGGTGACCTTGGATTTGACCTTGACTTTGACATTCAAGGTCATTTGAAGGTCAAGTTAAGTTTTTTAAACTGGAATTCCTATTTTTTATTGCGGATTTGGAAAGAGCAGGAAATTTTACGTCTAAAGATGGTTTGACCATGACTGACAATTTCCTGCTCTTTCCAAATCCCCAATAAAAAATAAGCAGGAAATTTTACGTCCAAAGATGGTCTTGACTATGACTTTGACAATTTCCTGCTCTTTCCAAATCCGCAATAAAAAATAAGGGTTTCCATTTAAAAAACTTAACTTGACCTTCAAATGACCTTGAATGTCAAAGTCAAGGTCAAATCCAAGGTCAGCATCAGATAGCCGGGGAAAAATTCTTACACTTTTATCTGGAATATTTTTTCCCAAAATGCATTCCTCGAAAGTTCTGCCGTACCGGGACTTTTGAAAGTCGACCCACTTTTGACCTTGTAGCTCATTGTCAAGGTCAAAGTCAAGACCATATTTTGATTTAAAATTTCTTGCTCTTTCCAAATACGCAATAAAAAATAGGAGTTTCCATTTAAAAAACTTAACTTGACCTTCAACTGACCTTGAAGGTTAAAGTCAAGGTCAAATCCAAGGTCTCCATCAGATGGCCAGGGAAAAATCCTTACACTTTTGTCTGAAACATTTTTTCCCAAAATGCTTTCTTTGAAAGTTTTTCTGTATATAAAAGCATTGGACAACTTGCTCGTCCCGGTAGCTTCAGCCGGTTCGATTTACAAACGTCTGTTTATTCAGTATTACTGTGGTTTCGGTAGTACTCTTATTACTGTGGATTATTGTCTATATCAGTGTTTAAAATGACTTATGTCTATAACTATGTAGAATTAACAGATATTCTTTTAAATTTATGGCGAAGCAAGAAAAAATGCAATTGCTGTTTCTCACCTGTATGCAGACCGTTTTCCTGGTCAGTCAATCAAATTCCAGTGGTGTATAGGTAAATATTTTTAAATAATTTTAGAAATGTCCTTTTTTAATTTTCTTTTTACATTATAGCATTTGTATGTATCAACTCTACTTCCCATAATTTTTTTTTTTTTTTTTGGAAAACTTGTGTATCACCTTTTTTATGCTGCGATTTTTACACATTTTTTAACACGTAAGCAAAAGAGTAAATTTGTCATTAATTTCAATTTATACATTTAACAACACAACAATCCGACATATTTCAATTTTTACAATTACAATTCCGGTACTTTCTCGATACTGGGACTCTTACCTGTAAAAGTTGAGGCCAATACTTCTGGTACGACCCTGTGTACATTTCGGGACATTCGCACAATAATTTCGTTATACCACAAGCCACAATCTTTCTCTCTATCGTACCGGCGACTTTTTGCAGTTCCGATATCAGAAGTTTTTCCAACACCATCCCAAACATCCTAAAATATAAAGTAAGTATAATCTCACACTATATGAACCGAGTAAAATCGACTTACTGCGCTTGAATTCCGTCGATGGTAACCACAAGTTCGTTAGCCGAGTACTTAACCACGTACAGACAGAAAAACACTATGAGATTTATCACATATTTGGTGGTTTTGCTGGAAGACAACCTCTGGAAGAGCAGGAAGAAGATCTGTTTCTGGTACGGAACCAACGCTTCGCTGGAAAAATATATCGGATCAAATGCTGTATTGGAAGCACTACAGAAACTTACGTAGGGAAATTTTGAACCATGCTCTGCATGAGATGAAATCCTTCGTGGTCGTTACTCTTCGAGGCTATCAATTTTTGAAAGACACCCAAGAAACCACCCTAAAAAAAATGTTCTCGTTATAGTTTTTTTTTTTTTTTTTTGGTTAATAATAATACACAGTTAATAATAAATGTTGGTTGATTACTATTCCAAAAAAACAAGGTGAATGTAATAAAATACCAAATATAAAGCTTACACCAGAAAATAACAATAAAATATACAAATAAAATTATTCACAAATTTTTATTTTGTTTCAAAAATATTTTGCTTCTTCCGCGCTTTTTTTGGTGACACGAACAAGGCCGATTCCCTTCACTGGACAATACAACTGAGAGTGTATGTTTTCTCGCTTTCCATTTTATAAATAAGAATTAGTTCGCACATGCTTAAATATATCTATGATATGCTTGAAATGACTATAGATAGTAGAAACTACAAATTCGAAAAGTGAAATTATGTAATACAAAAAGGGCAAATTAATTTATGCCAAAACTCACTTAAAATTGAATATCCGGCTCGAAGGACCAAAAAAATGTATGGGATTATTATTCCAAAGAATTGGATAATTCCCATACATTTTTTTCTGGTCCTTCGAACCGGATATACAATTTTAAAAAATATTACTACGTTCATTTCATAATATTTTCTTTCAATTTTAAGTGAGTTTTGGCATAAATTAATTTGCACTTTTTGCAAATACATCCACCATTTTTAAGGGGTCCACTTTAATTCTTATTCGTATTTGGACATGGTTTGACAACTAAATTTTGCTATTCTGTATTTACTTTTACTTCACCAAATAGAGAAGAATATTAAAAAATTTAAGGCCTTGCATCAAGAGATTATTTTTTGTATATTAAAAACATACCAGTTTGTCCTGAGCGACGATCTGCGGTGCCGCCTGCGTAGCGAACGCACTGAGCAGCCTGACGAGCGGGCTGATGTTTGCCGGTCGCTCCCACAAAACGGGCGCCAACAGGCACGGCAACAACTGCATGTAAGGTTCGGGCACCGCTCCGGGCGGGGTATTTTCCATAAGCAGGGAGAGTATTTGAAAAACGTACGGGATAAATTCTGAAAGAACATCGATTACAAAAAAATACTGCACGTAATCTCCTCAAGTTGAGTCACCTTGGATGTCTTGCTGTAATATTCCTTGGAAAATTGGAAATAAGATGTCTTCGAACGATGTTACCGCAGCTGGATTCGTGTTACACACGATTCTAGAAACGTATTTTACACAGATCATCGCTAATATCTATACCAACGGTTAACGGTACGAACTAAATTATTGAAATAGCGCCTTAAAGTTTTTAACTAATGATTTTGTAGGAATCGACTACTCTGTGGACTAAAGCCCCCAACCAACGTTGTATTACACATAGTAAAGTACAAACTTTGAATTATTAATAGCCTGCAATATCATTAGTTAAAAACGTTACTTTGCCTACTGCGGCAACGTCGTGGTACCTACAAATTGGTAGGTCACTCTTTGTCAGTAGAAATAGCGCCTGAATTTATTTATTTGTGGCGTTTCTTAAGCAATTTATTTTTTTGAATATTTTGCCACATTGTAAATAAGAATTATACAGTAACAATTGAAGTGGCTCACCTTATAGCCAATGAGAAGCTTTCGAACAAATAGTGGTTGAAGTGTGGTTTGGAAGGATTCTTGGCGACCGCCTGCAATTTTTGTGTCAATTTGGGCAATGCCGCGCTTAAAAATGGTATAACCCTCTCCTGTAGTGTACAAAAGGTCCTCATCATTGCTGGAATGAAAAAATTGTCGACGTTGCGTTTACACGTTACAATAAACTGACCAATTTATTGGTGAAATTAACCGAACCGATCAATAAAACGGCAAACTGTAGTAGATTTATACTAATACAATAACAAACAAGGATCAAAATTGTAGAATGTATGTAAAATTGGTAGAATTGAACGAATATATATGAAGTAAAACAAATTTAACGACCAGTTAATCCTTGGTATCCTTACCTTTCATGACGTATTCGTTTTCCTCCGATACAGGCCTCTCCAGTACAGCGAACAGATTCGATAATAGATCACCTGCTATCGGTTGCAGTTGAGCACCAGAAACTCTGAAAGAAGTCATAAAACAAACTAAAGCCGATCTGTGAGAGTCGTTGAGTTGGCATCAGAATTGTTCAAAACTTCCCATGCATCTTATACAGATCTTTCTGTATCTTGAAAAAGTGATGAGTGAGTGAGTGAGTGATAAGTGGCCTTTTACCTATTTCTTTTGCATAAAACGACTATCGATCGTTTTTAAAAACAAGCTGGTAAAAAATGATCCCACCGGAAGCCCTAGAAGCTAATACTTCGTGTGAAAATTCAATTGGAACCTGTAAATCTTAAAGCACGGGACCGTATGCACTTCTGAAATTTCTTCTTATGCTTTGACCATGATGTGTCTCGTAATTTATACTCGAATAGCAATTCGGCGAGTCCGGTATAGGTAAACTTGTCCGCCTGATGTAGAATTGACGCCGGCACGCTGGTCACCAAAGCAAACCTGTATTGGTCCACTACGTCGTAACCAATTTTTTTGTATGGTAGACGGGTTCACTTAGCTTTGCCGCTTTGCCAGTGCAGTGCAGAGCATTGCTTGGCGGGGTATGTTGTTGGTATAATACGTATTATTATCTATTAGTTGATATTATTATTTGTTCAAATTGTAACCAGTAAAGGGTAATAGTTATTAAAATAAATGTTATATGTAATTATCTAGTAATTTAGCGTGGCTCTCTGGAGACTCTTTGAAGCGAAGGATAAGGAAATAACTCGGGAAAATCCCCAAATAGTGGAACCGGTCGAAAGTATCGAAACAAACTCAGACTTTAAAAACAAAGATTTACACGTAAAAAGTCAACGTATTATATTAAATATATATGATTGTTTGAAAATTTAAAATAGTGAACGATGTGATGAAAAAGTTAGGAAACGTATTAACAAATTAACTAAGATATCAAAAACGACAATTTATGGCGTAATTCAAGAAGGATTGATCACGGTACAAAGAGGAAACGGAAAAATGCAAAATTAAAGAAAATTGACGATTTTACCAGATGTAATTTATAATATGTATAAAGAAAATAAAGTTCCTACTTTAAACATGAATCGAGATAAATTAAGCGATTATCCTGATTATAATTATAAATCTTTAGATATATTACGACATGCTTTATTACAATGCGATTTTAAACATAAAAAACTTGTAATTATATGGTAATATAGTATCTCTAGACGAGACAGGGCTAAATTTTTCTGGACGTCTATGGATTCCGTAGAATTTAGGAGTTAAATGTTTTTATGCGGTTCCAATTGAGATCATAACAACTATACCTTACACATATCTCGTAAACCAATAAACTTACTTAAAACTGAAATAAATGTAATAAAACGAAGCAGTGACATATTTGACCATTCTAGTTTCGCCAAATAACATCGGCCTTTTATTTTTTGCCCTTGTAGCATCCGATTGTCATATCACATCAGGTGGATTGACATTATGTAGTTTACTTGAACTAGGACGGTGTTAGAGGTCATTGACACTGAGTTCGCAAACTAAACACAGTGCTTTAAAGAAATTGTAACAAATATTTCAAGTCTATCTAACATATGCTTATCCGCATACTAATACAGTTGAACTCGCTTATAACGAGCAGGGGATATAACGAGCACTTGGTTATAACGAGCAAATTGAAATGTCCCTTCCGAATTCCCTATGTAACACGTGTATTTTTGTGGCTATTACGAGCTTTTATTTTGGTCCCGCGCAACAGTGATCTCGGCTATAACGAGTTATCGTAGAACCAGTTTTTCCGCACATGACATCAAATGAACGCAAAAACTTGTTATGACTAGTAGAAATAACAACATATCCGATTTTGACGTCTTTGACTTAGTTCAGTACGACAAGGTAGACGAAAATCTCGAAGTGGCTGAATTCCCAAATGAAATTCAAATCACACAATTAGCGATTAACCCATCAATAGATGAAGAAAGTGATGAAGAAGAAACGGGAAGCGATGAGGTTACAGTTCCTTCGACACATGAAGCCATCTCTGCGTTAAAACCATAGTATCATACGTCGAATTCAAATATCCGGAAAACGAGCAGTTCTTAAATGCCGCTGATCGGTTGCAAAGAAATATCAGTCAGGAGATATTAAGCAAAAGAGTGGTGCAGAAAAATATTACAGAATTTTTTCGTTAATAATAAATGCTATGTAATGTAACTTACCTACAGTTATACGTATCTATGTTATGTAGATAAATAATATTATAAAATAAAAATACAAGTGCAATGCAGCTATAATTATGTTTCAAATAATTTTCAGCATAGTTGGCGACGGCGACGTCTATAACGAGCACTCGCATATAACGAGCAAATTTTGCGTTCCCGTGAATGCTCGCTATAACCGAGTTTTACTGTATTAGTAAATACTTAATATGAAAAACATAAATTTTTTTCAAATACTTGAAAATTTTCAACATTCAGAACTATATCTGCATTGACAAAAAATATGGTGACTTTAAAATGACACGTCATAAAAGAACAAAATCATTTTCTATTGAAGTTTCACTCTCTGATTAAAAAATAATAATAATTTCAGATTAGTGTTCTGGGAAACACGTACAAGTACACTTGAAAAACTGACTCCCTCGTAATGTTACACCCCATACATTTGAACAAAATAATATATTAGAATCAAGTTCCGTTTAATCGTTTTTATTTATGTATTCCACATAAGAATAAATGTTATTTTTACCAGTTTTATGCTTTTTTATTTTGCAATATAAAAAGCAAGAATAAAATGTTTGTTAAATCGGACACCTTTTTTCCCAATTTGACCTGATTATCGAAGCTGTACTAAAAATAATATCGGTCAACACTTACATTAACTGATTATTGCTGTCCTTCATGATGAGGATCTTTTCTAAAGCGCACGCGGCGTATGTGTGCACGACGGCGCTCTCACTAGACAAGTGCCTGATCAGTTGCGGCATAGTAGCCACCACTAACTCCGACGGGAGGACGGTTCTGAATGTCATCACGTATTTGATGGCGTCTGCTTTGAGAACGGGCAGCTCGTTCACTGAAAGAAAGCATAATCCTTTTTTTCAAAATGATACATATTTAAACACAGAAAAACCGTCGCATACTCCAAATTTACCATGTCGTCGAAGCCTTAAAATGTAAAATAACAATGATACGAGTGATTTTGAATATTAACTCACCATCAGGTCTCTCCATCTCGGGCAGTATTTGCTGCCGGCAGAACTGAGTGATGTCGACCAGCTGACTAGTCTGCGTCACGCCGTGCTTCTGCGTAGAGCCCCTACTGACAAGCGAAGTGACTAGATACAACGCGGCGTCTTTGCTCCGCCAGTGGTTCTTAGGATCCTCCGTGTATTTGCCCAGCATAACCTAATAGAACAAAAACCGAAATGTTTTCGCATCATTACGTTTCACTGTTTGAAACAGTCGACGTACCTGAAGGTATTGACCAAAAATTTCCATGATTCTCGCCTCGAAATTCTGACTGAGGGTGTTTACTAAGTCGCAAGCTGCCCTTCTGCGAGTATCCACGTCTGAACCTTCGATATCTCTTCTCGTGTATTCTTCTGGGTTGTCCTCGAATAATTCTTCGTCTGATACTATATGACAGAAAACAATGAAATAGAAATAGTTTATGTATTCGATAGAATACAAGTAGTCACACAGAAACGAATCCATACAAGAATTAAAAAAAAATTTCGATAAGTAAATACTCAATAAAGGTGCAAGAGAGAAAAGGTTTTATTCTCTGAAATTTGAAACAACCTATAGAAAGCCAGTTCTACTTAGAGAACCAAATTGTAATCCCATCTCTCCCAAGTAATTTTAGGTGGGGTCCGGATACTTTTTAAAATTTTTAACGAGGTCCAGAAAAAAATTCACATTTCTTATTTTTTATTTTAATTTGGACTCAAATTTAATCTGCTTACTAACCATTAAGAACTCAAAACACACACAATTGTAAAATACTAGAAAAAATGATAAGATTGGCACTTAAACGTAAAAAACGTTTTTTAAATAATTTATTTGAGCAATTTATACTTTAAAAAAATTTTTGGCGGTCCAGTATTTTACCTTCCGCGGTCCGCCAGTTGCCGACCCTTGATCTAGGTTATTAATTGAGATGCAGAATTAAATATAAGCACATTTAATTTGAAAAAAAAAGAATAAAAAACAGATACTTCATTTTCACAAACTCATTTTCTTTTGATGTAAATCAGTGTTTTAACAGCATTTTGCAGCAAATTATTGTAATGAGTGCTAATCAAGAAATTTGAATAGAGACGAATGTGAGAAAATGATTACATTAGCTGATTAACGAATAAGCTAACGTGATATAGTTAGTAGTTTTCACTTGCACCTTGTATATTCTTAAAACTTAATTTCAATGAAAACTACATTACAGAAGAATGAACCTAAAGTTTAAAAAAAAGATCATCAAAATAAGATTACTCGTTCGCAAGAAAATCAATTTTGAAATTGGGATCCATTTTTAGTGGTGCATTAATTTTGATGCGAAGTAACTCATAAATAGAGTAAATGCAGACATATGAGGTTTGATCAGAAAGTAACGTAAGTAATCTTGAGTATCAAGTTGATTGTTTTTTTGTGAATCGATACCGTTATCCTCGACCATCATGAATTTTTACTGTCCAGTTGTATGGTTAACTACCTACAAGTTTTGCATAATTTGCATGAGACAATCAGGAGAAAACGACAAGAAGATAAGAGACAACTCGTAGATTTTGCACCACGACAACAAACCGACGCATACCGCTTTGTTTATCCAACAGTTCTTGGCAAAACACAACACCTTTGTGATGCTGCAACCACCCTATTCCTCATACATGACCCCTGTAACTTTTTCCTATTTTCCAAAATCAAAAGGGTTCTCAAAAGACATCTTTCAACAAGAGACAAGATATAGACAAAATCGCATACTGTGCTCAAGACAAAATTCAGACGTTCCACCAGTGTTTCTCAAACTGGAAACCATTTGACACCATTTCTATACAAAATATTTGTTACTTTTCCTCTCAATATAGCCAGAAATAATCATTTGTCTCGGAGTCTTAAATTATACATTATTTTTTTAACGAGAAATTTTATCTACTAATAATTATCAGAATATCAATTATCAAAGTTGAATCAATTTTGGAGGTAAAAGCGTACGAATCTCTGATCGATAATTTTGGCCATCAACAATGGATTTGTATAAACTTTCTATATTATAAATATTATTTAAATTTTTTAAATATTTCAGTTAATTCAAATAATTTTATTAAAATGATGAAGTACAAAGTACTTACCCCTGAATTCCATATTGGGGATGATAACTTTTTCGCAAATACCGCTTAAAACTGTATTATCTTCGAATAGAGATCGGTAATGGTTCCTTTCTGCCACACTGGACAAAAACTGTAAAGCGTTTGAAACCAGCTAAAAAAAACACAACCGATTACAAAAACCAACTTTTACATTTTTATTATTCTTACCAAATCATACTTTGGTTCCAATCCAGTGGCGATCAAAAGGCTCCAAACGTCAGTGACAAACTGAGGTAAGTAGGGTCGAAATTCTTCATCGTATTTCTGAGCGTAAAGGGCGATATTGTCGCACACCTGAGACTTTAATTGCTCCATAATTCCAGCTTCTTCGCTATCCTAAATATAATGACGAATAATCCTCAAATATGTATAAGAACCTTAACATAATAATTACCGTATTTTGTAGACTTTTTACATCGGCTGTGAGCATTGTATGAAAATTGGTCATCCAAACCTGCATATTATCTTCGAAAAACTCGGGTAAGTCTTGAAAATTCAAGGAATAAAACACTTTGCAAATAAGAACAAGTGAGCCGTAAATTACTTTTAAAGCATTGACGTCATTAGCATGCGTCTCTGCTAAGTTCATTGTTGCCTAAAAATATTCCTATGAAAATATTTAACCATTAGAGAAATACAAAATACTTACACTCAAAAGATCTGTTAATGGTTGGGCCAATTTCTCCAAAACATATTTTATCTCCGTCCAGAGTTCATTAGATTTAAACTCGTACCGATATTTTTTAAACAATGAATGAGCTGTTCGTAGAACTCCGTTTATTACATTGAAATCGCCAGTAGAAAATTTCTCAACCATCTGTGTTATCAGTTCAGGCCATTTAAGAGGAAAATCAGTTTTTCCTATGATGCTGATCGCATCGCTCAACTGCTTTTGTATCGATTCGGGAGACGTTAACATTAATGTTACGATAAGGTTTTTTATTGCATCTCTATCGGATTTGTGAATTCGATCTGGTTGGTCCTCCTCCTACAAACGACATTCAATGATAAACTAAGTCAAAAGTGATATAAAGTATTACTTACAACTGGCCAATTACGTTTAATGTAGTTTTTGAAAGCCACTGCTCCAGCAACTCGGATGGTCATATCCACTTCAGGTTTGTGGACGAGATTTAACAATAAAAGGGGATAGTTCTGGTTCACTTCAACACCTTCTAAAAACTTCTCAGCTGAAACATATAAAAATAACAGTGAGAAATAAGATAATTTACATTTTAAATTTAATTTACCAGGTCTTCTGACGTTAACATCCGGGTTCAGCGTTTCTTGTAAATACCGTCCCAGAGTTTGTAAATTATCGTCTGATATTTCCATTCTACTTTATTCTTCCGTACTTTAAAGGAATAATTAGTCAGATTTTTCAATTACTGCAGCACCGCTACACTTTAGACGGTTAAATTTAACATAACCTCGATGAATGACTCTTATTTTAGCGATTACCGCGCCACCTCGCCACAAACATACATAACAATTTTTGAAGAACACATTTTCCTTTTTTTATTTGGGTATTTGCCACCTGAAAAATATTAATCCGTTTACCTGGGGATTTCACGACTTTAGAAAAAAATATTATTGAAACAAACCAAATACAAGGGTTATTTTTATGAAATGGCGAAAAGTTTATTTAATTTCCTTGTTGGAAGAATACTCTAATAAATAGAGAATAAAGGTATATAACATTTCTAAACAGTTAAATTAGTTCTATGATTGAATAATTTAAATGAACAGAACATTCCTGTAGGGATTTATTTATATTTGGTTTGAGGATCACTGGTCACTGAATTTGTTCTCTCATTCTGATTCTGTGTTCTATGATTGTGAGTGCATAAACTGTACTATATGTTTCGTATAGGAAACTGTATGGCACGAGGAAATGTAAATTAAAATATAAATTGATTAACTTAACAACAACGAGATGTCCACACTTATACTGTTATCGTTTTATGTTTGAATTTCCACCCCGTTTCCACTTATCTTATTTCACAGATTTCTATATTGTAATAAGATGTAAAAACCTATGATATTCTGATGAAAACTAATAGGTTTTGTCTAGCGACTCTACTGATGATCAGATTTACTAGACCCTGCGGTGCAAATCAATGCTTGTCGGGACTTTACTTCACAGAGTAGTTTGTAGTTAAAATACAATTGTTTTTTATATCTCCCCATATTATTTTTTATATAACTGACAGGGAGGCCACATTTTCAGTTGATATTTTACAGCGACAAAAGTACTGGTTTCATAAACCGATTGTAAGAGACAACAAATAATGATTTCTTTCCGTCCATACAGTTATCTACAGAGCCAGGGGCCGTTCTACAAAGCCATTTGCATTATTTATTTTCGGCTTACTTTACTGAAAGTAGTTCCGAAGAATTATCATCGCAACTACCCACCCTATCCTGGAAGTTGTTCCAAACATATTTATTTATGGATATCGTGCCACTTTGGGAGCGGAGATAACTCCGTTTTATTCCGGTTGTTATCTCGACCGTTCAGAGAGATTTAGAATGAAAGTTATTTGTCCTATAGGGGTGGGAATTCAATACAACGGTTAAAAATAAAAATATGTAATATTAGATATCAACTGCTTGCTTTTAGAGTTTGCATTTTAAATATGAATAATTCATTTTGTTAATTACATATCCAAAAAGTCAGCAGGATTTTTATCTGGGACATCTGGTACTGAATCTTTAACTGAGCAATGATGTTCACAATATTTCATAAGCACGGTTAATTACAGAACGTCAAGATTTATTTTTGACAAAGGAGCTGAGAGAAATCGCAGGAAATTATTCTTGGGTTCTTCAACTCGCCGGAAGATACCGTAATGAACATGGTCAATGACAAAATAGTTACTTGTTTAACTGGGTTACTACCCATTAAATCTTGTAATTTACTAATTATAAGATTTAATGTTGCGACTGGTATGTCTTGAAAAAGGTGTATCAAGAGATAAAATAATATTGTGAGATTGTTTCATTATTAGCTACCTATGTTGGTATTGGATAATATATAATAAGTATCTATTAAACTACGTTAAATTTAGTCTTACTTTGTTTTGTTGTAAGGAAGTAGTTTATTATTTCCTTTAAATTAATACCTGCCTTGTCCTTATCCTTAAAGCCTTCGTACTATCCCTCACACTGACATCAGACTCTACCCGCGTACTATGTGACGCGTACATTAACCGCGAACTGAAACTATAAGCAGCTTTGAGCCGGCCTCAGTTCCCTCCTAAATCACGTTATTTTAACCGCCTCGCGTGGAAGGGGAACTGTAGCATATTGTAGGCAAGTGTGAAGCGCCTACAAGCAAAGAAATTCTTGTTTCACTCGGAACTAGTGTTACTCTTGTTACTTAAATTCTCGTTAGTTACGATTTCTTTTTTCTCAGAGCAGTGTTCAATCATTTCTAGGAGATGGCCGACGTCATGTCTCGTTGGAACACCCAGTACAAACCGTGTTTTCGTTCGAGCAATGTTCTTAGTCGAAACCTTTCCACCGTGTCGTAATCGGGAACTTTTTATGAAACTTCGGCGGCCTCGGAACGTTCTTACACGAACCAGGCAAGAAAAGTTGAGTTACATTAGGCGCTTTTTGTGTTATTCTGTTATTACACGGGTCATAATATAACTAATTCATCACGGCGCAAAGTTTAGAATACGCCCCAACCGCACGGCAGCCAGTCTATAATAAAAAACTCGTTAAAAAGTTGACGGTTGGCGCTGGGAACGCTGCCGCCGTCAGAGCAACGAAAATAAGTTTCTGGAAAGGGAACATTGTTATTATATCTAACCCGAAAAGCTAAGTAAGCAATACATCATGCCAGCGGCGTGCAATGACGGATTGCGCCGGGGGACGTATTCGGAATTTTCCATTATTTTTCCCAAAAATTTACTAAGCACTAATCGTATATGAACTACCTATGTATGTTTTAAAATAATAATTTTTGCTGTTTTATAAAATGTACATAATCAAAAATAAATAAAAATATCTGATAGATTTTAAATACTTTTCAAAGCCATTTCAAGTTTTTAATATGTATTTGTTACAATTTTTTTAAAACACTACTTAGTTTGTCAATTTCGGTGTCAATGATCTCCGAAATTGACCTAGTTTAGTCACTACATATTCCAACGAAATAAACATAAATAAACCACGACATGTGCATAAAAGTGCACAGGGAAAGTTAAAATAGTTAAAACAGATACAATTAAAAGTTATTATAAAATTCTAAAGAAAATTATATGTTTTTACTTCTCTCCTTCTTATTCAGCCACTGCATCAGCTGAACAATATACAACAGCAACAAATTAAACCGCTAATTATACGCACGAAAAGAAAACTATTATACGTTGCAAAGTACGATCCCGTATACAGGGGTCGGAAAGTCCCCATGGTTCATCGGCCGTTACGTGGAGCGATAAAGTAAGTCATAGAAATCCGTGCGATAGAGAAGGATGGTTATAATGACGGCGTCTCATAGTCACCGGCCGTTTCGCCCTTCCACAAATAAGATCCACTTCCACTTGTAATTCAGCGACCGGTGGTCATCTTTGTTTTCGTCGTTTGGCTTTTCTTTAATAGATGTCACTACTTATACAATTTCGACTTCGGTATTCCGATATGTTAATAACATCCGTTAACAGAGGGCAGCACAACGCGTAACAAAGAAAACTTTAGCTAGTAGATACCTCTGTTTGTAAATCTAGTGACCTTGTTTCCCCTACTGAGAAGTTATTCAAATGGAGTCTAGTGCTCAGTTGCATTTAACGTTCATTTAGTTGTTATTTAAGTATACTTTTTAAAATGACTTAAAAATTCCAAGAAATAAAGCAAAATTCCCTATTTCCCCAATTCCAAAAAAATCTGTAGACGTTCAACAAGAGTCTTTTGTATATTATAAAAAGGATACCAAACAAGCACTGCCATACTCCAATCTAGAACGTACATACGCAAAATACAAGATTTTAATAGCATTTATGTCTGTGAATCGCTTACAGTTTCTTAATATAAATCCATAAAATTTTAACGCTTTATTTATTTTAAGGACTAAATGATCAGTAAAAGAAAATTTTGCGTCAAATAAAACACCCAAATCCTTGCAAGACTCACACCGGGATAATACAATATTATCGATATTATAATTAAAATGGACAGATAACTTTCTGGAAAAACTTAAGATCTTGCATTTGGGTGGGTTAAGATGTAATCTATTTTCAACACACCAGGATTGTATATTGTCAAGTTCTTTCTGCAAATTATTACAGTCTTCAAGACTAGTTACGGATGAAAATATTTTTAAATCATCTGCATACAATAACTTACGACAGCTGATTACTTCATTTATATCGTTAATGCACAAAACAAACAGTAACGGACCAAGTGTAGAACCCTGAGGTACTTCAGAGGTTGCTACATAAGAGTTAGAATCAAGACCATTGTAACTAACGTATTGCATTCTCTTGTATAAGTAGGACTTAATAAAATCAATAAAATCGTTAGAAAAACCAAAGTTTGCAAGTTTATAAAGTAAAACTTTAATAAATACTAAATTATATGTATTAAGTTCAATATCGACAGTTCCCGTAATTAATATCAAAAAAATTATATATTTAATTGCATTTGTAGCCCTTTCAACCATTCCATTGAGGTCTAGGCATTTTTAGTTGATAATGCCAATCGTGCAATGTTGGTTGTCTAAGCTCGACGGTCACGTGGCTTGTAATCATTTACGAAGCTCTGTACAGTATACACTTAATAGTCCTTAGTAATATCGCTGAAGGTAACTCAAGAAAAACAACTCTGGGTACTTTTTTCGCTGTAAAGGTGACGTTTTAAAACAAGATAATTTTTTAATTGGCTACAAAATAGGAAAACAATTCTCTAATGTTTCGATTTGTGTCCCATATGTTCTGTTTATCATAGACTCGGCACAGCTACGCGTTTAATAAATTCCGTACTTCCTCGGATATCACGAGAGCGATTGCGAGAATCGGTCCAGTGACCGAATTCCCATCAATGCAAAATATTCGATCTGTCACGCCCGCCGGGCCGTAATTACAGAGAAGGAGACGGCGTCCGCCCCTCCGCCGACGGCCGCGGGGGTAATTAAGCCGAGAACCGGGCAGCTGCCGCCTCGGACTCCGCGGACTGCAATAATCCATAACCGCAAGCATGCGAGGCACGAAGACGCCGCAAGGGAGTGCCCCACGTGCACTATGCCAATGAGAAATATGCCAGCGTCAGGCACAAAGCGATCAAAAGCATACTGCCCGCAGCTATTCCCTATTTCCTATTTTACTAGGGTG